CCCCACCATCTCCTCTTTTCTGTCTAAATAAAAAGTAAGGTTTTAACTTTAACATAGTAAAATTATATGTACCAAAACCATTATTAAGTAAGATCTACAGTTAACAATATTTAGTTCATTAACATTTGGTAAAATTTAAAGAAAATATTCTCTCACCTATCCTATCTTTGTGAGTCTAGAGTTTTATATGTAACTTATCTTTTATTATAACTAAGGAAAATCATAACCACAACTATTGTCTTCAACTCCATCAAAGACCACAGAAGGATAATATATAAACTCTAGAATTGACAGAGACATCTCACTACCTGGACAGTCACCCAAAATTCTTCTGTAATGTTGGGGCATCCATCTTCAGCCCATAGGCCATAATGTGTCTGGCAGACTTCTCAGTGAAACAGGAAATTTTAAACTGTCCACCTGAATTGGCAGTTCGTCAGTCAAAGTAGACCAGGGACTTCACAGAGATTCACCTGCCTCTGCCTCCAGAATGCTAAAATGGAAGGTTAGGGCAGCTTGGCATGACAGTACAAGCACTCATGGAGGCTGAACCAAAAGGATCCCAAGTTCAAGACCTACCTTGGCAAGCACAAGGGTAACTTGAGACCCTGCCTCAGCAAAACAATAGGAGTGGGATAGCTGGGAATATAAACTCAGTGGCAGAGTGCTTGTTCTCCCCATGTAGTTTAGAGTCACCCAAAAGTCCAGGAGACAAACATGTTGGATCAGGCCTATAATCCCAGCATTTGAGGTGGAGGGAGAAGTGCTGTGAATTTGCAATCAGCCTGGACTATATGGTGAATTCCAGGGCAGCACAGGCTATATTCACTAAGCTTTGGGCCTCTGCCCATGTGATCCAGGACACTGCTGTGGCTATGGGGAAAGATGGGGTCTCCCAGGCCAAGTAAGGAAATGAACATGAATGTCTGTCTGGAGGAAGAGTCTACAGGTACCATGTCAGAAGGAGGCAGGGGAGGCTGGGTACCTTGAGATCAAATCCAGGCCCCAGTCCTGGGTATCTCGGCAGAATCAGTATATTCAGCTACTCATTTTTCCATCCTCTTGCAGTCTCCCCAAATTTAGTTCTAGGTCTACATGGTTGGCAGAATAAACAATCATCTAAATTAGGGTACAGAAATGTAGATGTTCGGTTCCTACCCCAGACCAACTCATAATCTGGTGTTGGAATTTGCTGTGCTTTTATTTCAATTTGTTTGGGCATCTCTCCGGCCCAGTGATTTAGACGGGTATACCCCAAATGTGTCACCTGGGTGAACAGCAAGCAGCATGTTCACCCAAGAAACTATTTATGCAGCTTGGACTCTGGCTGGAAAGAGGTTAAGGAGGTGACAAGGTGAAGGTGGAGTCCTAAAATGTCACTGCAATGATTACAGCTTACTATGTTCCTTACTCTCAGGGGCAGGCAAATGGAAAAGTGAGACAATCCAAGTTATACTTTAAAGTTCTTCATTATCAGGGGTTTGCATAATTTCTAGTTTCCATTATTCCTTTTATGATCCTAAAATAATTCTGTGTAAGTTTGAGACCAGCTATGTTTATATAATAAGTTCCAGGCTAGTCAAGGTTTTATAGTGAGACTGTTTAAAAATAAAAGTAATCAAGGCCAGCATGGTCTACAGAGCGAGTTTCAAGACAGGCCCCAGAGCTACAGAGAAACCCTGTCTTGAAAAAAAAAAAAAAAGTAACAACAAGAACAACCATACAACAAGATTCTAAACATTGAAACCCAAATTTTTAGTTGGGTTATCTGTATGTTGGGAGAAATCCTTCCTGGGGAGCCAAACATCCACCCTATACTCATAAGATCCTAATGAGAAACCAAGGTCTACCCAAGTTCACTGTGGGGAACCAGTGAGCTCACTGAGCTTACTGACAGTACACAGGGTTACTGGCAGAAGTGGGGACGACCACAGAGCAGTCAGACTGGAAGTTCTCCACCCAGCAAGGATGCCAGCTTCCAGGATGCTAAGCATCCTATATAGAAGTTCCAGAAATTCCCCAGGCCACTGGCCATTAGAGCAGATTGTATACTGATGCCTGGAAGGCATGGTTGGAGCCTCATTGGCCCCCTTTCCACCTGCTTCTCCGAGAGAACATAAATGTACCTCTTGCTAGCAACTGATGATCTGAGGGAAATGGTGACCATTGCTCAGAGGACAGAATTCTACACCATATAGAGGTACCAAACTATGAAAGTAGAGGTTATGGAGATGGAGATGGCTGTCAGTAAAGTGGCTGTCTGGCAAACCTATGTTTAATCTCATGACTCATGTAATCAGGTGTAGTGAAGGGTGGCAGATGCAGGAGGATCCAAGGCAGTCTGACCAATTGGCAAGCTCCCTGTTCAGCGTGAGACCTTGTATGGAAAAGGTGGAGTGATACAAGGACACCCAATGGCAACTTCTACAGACACATTCATGAGCATCTACACTGCCACCCATAAAAAGCATTAAGAAAGGCTGGAGAGATGGCTCAGTGGTTAAGAGTGCTGGCTGCTCCTCCAGAGGTCCTCACTTCAATTCCCAGCAACCACATGGTGGCTCACAACCATCCTTAATGAGATCTGGTGCCCTCTTCTGGCCTGCAGGCAAACATGAATGCAGAACAGTGTATGCATAATAAATAAATCTTGCTTGCTTTTGTTTTTCGAGACAGGGTTTCTCTGTATAGCTTTGGAGCCTATCCTGGCACTCGCTCTGTAGACCAGGCTGGCCTTGAACTCACAGAGATCCGCCTGCCTCTGCCTCCCAAGTGTTGGGATTAAAGGTGGGGGCCACGAACGCTCATATAATAAATGAGACAGGCAGTGGTGTTGCACACCTTTAGTCCCAGCACTCGAGAGAAGGAGGAAGGCAGATCTCTGAGCTCAAGGCCAGCCTGGTCTACAGAGCTAGTTCTGGCCGGACATTGGTAGCACACCAATGTCTCTGTCAATTCTGGAGTTTATATATTATCCTTCTGTGGTCTTTGATAGAGTAGAAGACAGATAGTTATGGTTATAGTTTTCTTTAGTTATTATAAAAGATAAGCTACATATAAGACTTTAGGCTCACAAAGTCTAGATAGAATATTTTCTTTAAATCTTACTAAATGTTAATGAACTAAATATGGTAACTATAGTTCTTACTTGATAACTGTTTTTTTTTTTTTTTTTTTTTCAAGACAGGGTTTCTCTGTGGCTTTGGAGGCTGTCCTGGAACTAGCTCTTGTAGACCAGGCTGTTCTTGAACTCATAGATCCACCTGTCTCTGCCTCTGCCTCCCAAGTGCTGGGATTAAAGGTGTGCATACCCCCCCTCCCCGCCCCATAACTGTTTGTTACATATTTTACTATGTTAATGGTAAAACCCTTCTTTTTTTTAGACAGAAAAGAGATGATGCATATGTTTATCTTATTGGTTGATAAATAAAGCACTGTTGGCCAATAAGGGAGCAAGTTAGGCAGGACTAGGAGAAGAGGATTCTGGGAAATGTAGGAAAGGGATGTTGTCACTCTGATCCTGAGAATGGACAGACACCGCCAGCATCCTCGGTAAGTCTTTATAAATATATAGATTAATAATTATGGTTGATACTTAAGACAGAGATAGCAGATAAGAAATCCTAGTCATTGGCCAGCAGCATTGTACCTAATAATATAAGTCTCTCTGTATTACTTGGGACCTTAATGTAGTGGTGGGGCTCAGGGGGCTTGGCGGAAAGACACACAGCTAGTTCCAGGACAGCTAGGGCTGCTACACAGAGAAACCCTGTCTCAAATTTTTTTTTTCTAAAAAGCAGAAATGTAAACTGGGAGGTGGTGACACACGTGTTTAATTCCAGCGCTTGGGAGGTAGAGCTGGCAGATCTCTGTGAGGTCAAGGCCAGCTAGTCTACAAAGAAAGTTCCAGGACTGCCAGGTAGGTCTACACAGAGAAACAATAAAAAAACAGAATTTAATCTTGAAAATTGTATTAAAAAAAACCAGAAACATCACATTAACATAAATATTTTTATTAAAATTAATTTTGGAAACAAAATGACAGCATTGTTTCACATTTTTGCAGCCTTTTTTCTGACAACAGAAGCTGGAGTCTGATATCTGCTTCATGTGAGCACTGCTTTGAAGTAAATGAATGCTTTCACCTGGAACTGCACCGAAGGAAGGATTTCAGAACCCCTGCAGAACCATTAGCCACTAAAAGCCACAGCAACAAAACCATTTCTCAGTAGAGACTACAGTCACTTACAGCATCAGAATGACAACTACTTCCATGGCCAGTATGTTTAAAGGAAATTTGAGCTCTTGTTAACACAATTTGAACATTTTTTACTTACTTATTTAGGCTAGCAATTAAACCCAGGGTCTTGGGCAAACACCACACTGTTGAGCCATAACCCCCCCCACCTCTCAAGCCTACAAACTGGAATTTGTTTTGGAAACAAAGTCTCCTGGACTCCAGGGATCCTTTTTCTTTGTTCCCAGGTACCTGGGATTACAGGCATATACTCAAACTGTCAAAACATCAATTTTTAATTTGAGTTTGAAAATCACAATGTTACCAGCCAAGATTTTAAAAAAAGTTTTGTTCCAAACTAGAGAATGCAACATGCTGTACATAGCCAGCACTGATCCTGTAGTGTTTCAGAGTTTACCAAGCCCATTTGCTCATTCTTAGGCTCCCTCATGAGAGAGAGATGAAGGCCCAGAGCAGACCTGGTTGGTCCAAGGCCGCCACTGAGGCTGTGGGCTAGGACTGAGCTAGGTTGAGTCCCTTGTCTTTCCTCATTCAGCTGCCCAGTGCTATCTCAGAAGGAAGACAGAGACCTTGGTGTTTCCGGGTGCAGGTGACCCACAATTCCAGCCTTTACAGGTTCCTGTGACCTTGTGATGATGCAGCTGCAGGACACCTCCATTCTGGTGATGACAGTACACTTTTTGAGGTTGTTTCTGGCACTGAAGAGGCCCCTTCTCTTTCCATATACACACGACAGCAACCATTCTCGAACTTAAACGACTTTATTTGACACAAAATACAATATGGCTGTGGGAACAGCAAACTCCAAAAACAAAGGAAAGAAAAAAACCACGGTTCTATCTAATTTATAATTAACAGGAAGGCAAGTCACTACACGAGTAACAAATGGGTGAGCTTTAGGGAGAGTCATTTCTAGTGCCCATACCTGAAAGACAAAACAAATGACCTCATGAGAATGCTAGAGAATAAAACACTTGTTTGTTTGTTTCTTTTTCCAGACAGGGTTTCTCTGTGTAGCTCTGGCTGTTCTGGAACTCCCCCTGTAGGGGCTGGCCTCAAACTTAAGTTCTGGGACCAAGGGTATTCTCTACAATGAATGACTTAAGTTTGTTTAATTATAAAAATGTGATCAATTAGCTTTAAGTTTGGTATCAGGATTAGCTGAGTTAAGCCACTCAGCTTAACTAAGTTGGCACCTGAGGTGGGAGGGTCCTAATGAATTTGAGGCCAGTCTGAATTATAGAATGAGATGCTGTTTCAAGGAAAAATAAACAGCACCAAATAACAAAAGTGGTTCTGGTGGGTACATCTGTGATCCCTGCTCTGGGTAGGCAGAGGCAAGAGGAATTCCAAAAGTCTCAGGCCAGTCAGGGCTACACCAAAAGACCCTAAACATCACTAGACGCCCAAAGAAAGGTAACAATAGTGACAATGAAAGTTTGCATGATGGAACTATCAGGGTAGAGTTACAGAGATTTACTGACTCATTTCAGTGATACTAGGGACTGAATCCAGGACCCTGCACAGCTAGGCAAGTATTCTACTACTGAGCTTTGACCCCTAGCCCTGGGAATACTTGACCACCTCTTTTTTTTTGTTTTTCCTTTTTAAACAGACTTAATTCACTTTATTTTTCTTGTACAAAAACCCTTATGTGGTGGCCACAGCTGGAGTCTGGGTCCTCTAAACAGAGACTCTGGTGTGGGCTTTCACAAGATGGTCAGTGAATTCCTGATAAGGAGACTTGGTGAACACAGTCTCTTTCCAGAGGTCAGGGGTCAGGTAGCTGTAGGTCTTGGAGATGGCATTAAAGGTGGCCTTGGCAAAGTTGCCCAGGGGGGCAGTGCAGCCCCTGGCTGATGTATAGCAGTCATCAATCCCAGCCATTATCAGTAGCTTGGGCACAGGGGCAGAAACGATGCCAGTGAGTCTTGGGGGGATGAGAAGCACCAACACAGAGCTACAGGGGCCTGACACTTTGCATGGAACAGTGTGGGGCTTGACAATCTTGTTCCCCCCAGTAGCCTGTCCACACAGGGACAATGGAAAGCTTGGCTAAGATGATGGCCCCTCGGATGGCAGTGGCTACCTCCTTGGAGCACTTAACACCAAGACCAACTGTAGTCCCCAATAGCAACAAAAGCATTGAACCGTTGACCATTGTTTTTGACTCCCATATTTTTCACTTTGATAAACATAGCAGATTGAAAAACTCCTGTAAAATGCTGGCTAATCCCTGCTTATTTTCTCAAAGCCTGGTTTAAAAATAAGGTATGGTAATACATGCCTTTAATAACTCAGGAGGCAGAGACAGGTGGATCTCTGAGTTTGAGGCCAGCCTGGTCTACATGGTCTACAGAGTGAGTTCCAGGACAGTGAGACAGCCAGAGTTACTTAGAGACCTTGTCTCAAACAAACAAAACAAAAGAAAAACATGCTCCACCACACGAGCTGTTTTCAGCTTGAGCCCAGTAAAATGACATTAACTAGAAGACCCAGTTAAATGACATTAATAGAACCCCAAAAAAGTGAAACACCTACTTTTGGAATTCCCACTCTCTGTTGTCCAAGGGACACACCTGCCTTGTTTTGAGCCATCGAGAGATGCAGTGGAAATGAAAAGCATGCTGAAAGAGAAGACAGGTTGTTACATGTCACTGCAGCCACCACCAATCATGGGCTGCTAAGTGGGGAAAGACAACAGGGGACAGGGCAGCCTTGGATGAGGACAACATTCCAGAGAACATCTCGGAACCTTTCCTATGGATAAGGGTACTTCCAATAAAAACACATGATATTCCCCTACGCTAAAGAAATGAATCATCAGGGAGCACAGGAATATGTTCTGACAGTGAGGTCCTGTCTCTCTAAGGGGATGTGCTTCCTGTCGCCATTTAGCTGTTGACAGGATACTTGTACATCTCTAAGAAAGGAGGTCCTGACCACAGACTTCAAATGTGAGAAAAGACAACTATTCTTTCAAAGCAACAATTTTCTAGAAGATTCTGTCCATTCAGATTCTTAACATGATTCATCATGAAAAACCAAACAACCAAACAAACAGAAAACTCAAAATCCAAACCAACCAGCATTCTGCAGGCTTATAACCCCAGCACTTTTAAGGTGGAGTACAGGGAACCAAGAGTTCAAGGTCACGCTCAGTCACACACCCACTTCAAGACCAGCCTGAGATGCAGGAGACCCTATCTAAAACAAACAAGGCAACAGAACAAAAAGCCCTCTCAGAATTTCCAAGAGGCAGAACCTGAGACACTTCCCAAAACACCTAGGTATTGGGGACAGTTCATCCAAAGATAGGTAATAGCTACCACCTCCCTGCTAAGTATCCTACAGAATGGGGCTTAACCCCTCAGACCAGCAAGAACTCAAGGGCAAAGAGGCTGTGAATGAGGTTTCAATGCAAATGGACCCCAATTTTCTTCCTCTTAATTTAAAATGAAGTAGAGACTTTATTTAGCAAAAGGCATAATTTACCAAGGGCACATTGACAGCCCAGGTTTATAGAAGTTGGTATCTATTACCTCATTCAAGCCCAATGCAACTCTGGCAAGCAGGCATGACAGATATTACTATCTGTACTTTACAGACAGGAAACTGGACCCTGAACAAATGACTTGTCTAATTCACAGAGCTGGTTCATACAAGACTCAGTGGCAGACCATGACCAGGCTCTCCTTTATGGCAAGCTGGCTGAATAAATACATCTTTATCTAAATTTTTCCTTAAAGAAATTTTCTGGCAGGGCAGTGGCTCACTCCTTTAATTCCAGCACTCCGGAGGTAGAGGCAGGTGGATCTCTGTGAGTTCGAGACCAGCCTGGTCTACAAGAGCTAGTTCCAGGACAGCCTCCAATGCCACAGAGAAACCCTGTCTCAAAACAATACAAAACAAAAAAACAAAAACAAAAAAACCAAAAACAGATATTTTCCTTTTTTTTTTTAAGACAGAGTTTCTCTTATATTTTTGGTTGTGATCCTAGCCTGTAACGGCTGAGCCATCTCTCCAGCCCCAGGGTTTCTCTTTGTAGCCATGGTTACAAAGTTGGGGATCCTCAAACTTGAGGATCCACCTGTCTCTGCCTCCTGAGTGATGGGATTAAAGGCATAGACCACCATACCTGGCTCAAAAGTTCTTGAATTTAGATAAAATCCCAGTATGGTGGCATGCGTCTTTAATCCCAGCATAGGCAGACACAGGCAGATCTGAGCTCCAAGTCAGCTAGGACTATAAATTGAGTGTCTAAATTAATAAAAATTTAAAATGACATTTATTTCTGTTTATGTTTGTGGGCACTCACATGGAGATCAGAGGATAACTTGTGGAATGGCTTCGTTCCTTCTACCATGGGGGCTCCAGAAACTGAATTCTGATTGTTAGGCTTGTCACTAAGCACCTTATCCAGTGAACCACCTCAGTAGGCTCACCCTGTCCTTCAGACAGAAGAATATCACCTTTAGTCTCGAGGAGGTGAGGGCAAAGCACCTGGTGTATTTCCTCTATCTCCACGAATGTTTAGCGGCCAAAGGGTCTAAACAGAGAAGTAAGAGTATGCAGTAGTGGATGGGAAGACAGCCTCAAGGCCACTGGGAAGCACTGAGTACTAGTAAGGGCCACTCCTAAAACTCTATTCATTTAGCTTTCCTTTAAAGATTATTATTTTTGATTATGTGTACGTGTGCGTGCTGTGGGTATGTGCAAGTGCCTTCAGAGACCAGAGGTGTCCAATTCCCCGAGCTAGAATCCCAGGTGGTCTTGAGCAGCCTGTTGTGGGTGCTGCCAACTGGACTTGGGTTATCAAAGAGCAATATGTGCTCTTAACTCCTGATCCCTCATTTAGCTTTTCTTTTTTTTGGTATATTTGAGTCAGGGTTTCTCTGTATCGCCCTGGAACTTGCTCTGTAGATCCCAGGCTGGCCTTGAACTCAGAGATCTGCCTGACTCTGCCTCCTGAGTGCTGGGATTAAAGGCATATACCACTACTTCTCTGTAGCTTTTTAAATAAATATTTCTTCTTACTGTGTCCTGGGAGCCATTCTAAGTACTTTAAAAACATTTGTTTGAGGGGGCTAAAGAGATAGCTTAAGAGATTAAGAGCACTGGCTGTTCTACCAAAGGATCTGGGTTCAATTCCCAACACCCACAATTGTCTATAACTCAAGTTCCAGGGGTTCTGACACCCTCATATAGATATACATGCAGGTGAAACCCCAATGTACATTAAATAAATAACAACTTTTAAACATTAAACAGTTTGAGGCTAGCCTAGTCTACAAAGTAAATTCCAGGACAGCTCCAAAGTTACATAGAGAAGCCCTGTCTGAAAAAAACAAAAAACATTTATTTGCTTTGGGTAGCACATGTGTGTACATTAGGACAACTTGTGGAAGTCAGTTCTCCCCTTCTACCACATGTGTCCTGGACTCAAGTTCAGGTCATAAGGCTTGGCAGCAAGACTCCTTATCCACTGAGCCATCTCACTGGTCCTTTTTAAATCATTTAATCCTGTTTAGACTTTCACTATTATCCACATTTTATCTGAGGGTACCCAGGATTAGAGACTTTAAATGTTCTGACAAAGTCACTTAGCTAGTAAACAGAAACAGAGGATGATCTGAGCCCAGATCATGTGTGACTCCTGTGTCACAGTGGAAGCTGTGCATCCAGGGCCTGACTAGTCAGGGCAGTGTTAGCTCATGTAACTATGGTTCTACAGATGAACTCTGACGTGCTAGAAATAACATATTTGTTGTCTCTTCTCCTTCACAGCTGTTACACTCTGCAAGGCTGTACATTCAGTCCAACATTGCTGCATTAAATATTTTTGGCAGGAGCCATAAAACACAAACACACACACAAAACTGCTGCACAAAATCTAACTTAAACACACAGAGACCTTAACACTCAACACATTCACCAAACCTCATCCCTTGATACTTCTCTTGAAAGGTCTGTTGAGAAGGTGCAGATACTCTCCTAAGACTGAAGATAACCCCTAAAGGTGGCTGAATACTCAAACACTACATAGGAAAGTAGGCCAATTTAAATAATAATTAACACACACTAGTTTTTCTTTATAATAACTACTGTTTATCTGGTTAACGGTAAATACTATAAGGATTTAAAATCTGTTTTTATTATTTGTATATATTTTGGGAGAAAGGTGGGTTACTCATTTTTTACCCTAATAATTTTCAAGACTGGCAAAGCAAGGACAAGCAGAACGCATGCATAAGCCATTCGGATAGGTAAAGATGGCTCCTTACATTACAGACTCCCCACGCAACAGTACACTCTTCGGAAGTAGCAGACGCCTGGTTGGCCTGACATTCAATGCCTGTGGGAACAAGAACAAAAGCTTCACTAGACTGCGGGTAGCAGCTTCCAACCCAGCCAGCCAGGTCCTAAAGTGGATAACTGGCCATTAACCATTTTCAATGGATATGAAAAAACGTGGAGAGGGCTGTATGGTGGCGCACACCTTTAATTCCAGGACTTGGGAGGCAGAGGCAGAAGGGTCTCAGTGAGTCTGAGGCTAGCTAGGGCTACTCATTTGTTTCCCTAATAAATTTCAAGATGGACAATGCAGAAAAGTGGCAATGCATTTACAAAGTGTTATTGTTGATGGCTCCACAGTCAAGAATTTACTGGGTCTAGGCCTGGGGCTCATGCCTGAAATCCAAAGCACTCATGAGGCAAAGACAGTCAGTTATCTGTTGAGTTCCAGGTCAGCCTGGACTGTACAGTGAGACCCTGTCTCAAGCAAAAACAATCCTTCCATAAAGACTGACATAGTGGTGCACATCTTCTATCTCAGCAGTTCAGAGGTGGAGGCAGAAGGAACCATGGAGCCACTCACCAGCATGACTTGAGTCTCTCTCACGCACACATACATATATACATGTACAAGCATACATAATTACACATCTAATCAAGCTGCCAAATTTGCTATGTAGCCAAGGATGACTTTGAACTCTTGATCCTCCTGGTTCTCCTACTATGGCAGTTTGAATGTAATTGGCCCCCACATTCTTATAGAGTGTGGCACTATAAAGAGGTGTGGTTTTGTTGGAGTGGGTATGGCCTTGCTGGGGGAAGTGTGTCATGCTGGGGTGGGCTTTGAGGTTTCCTATGTCAGGATATCATCCAGTGTCTGAGTCAACTTCCTGTTGCCTGCAAGATGTAGGACTCTCAACTACTACTTCAGCACCACATCTGCCTGCATGCAGTCATGCTCCCCTTCATGATGATGATGGACTGAACCTCTGAAACTAAAAGCCAGCCACCCCAATTAAATGTTTTCCTTAGAACAGTTGCTGTGGTCACAGCTGGGTGGTGGTGATGCTTGCCGTAAATCCCAGCACTTGGGAGACAGAGGCTGGTGGATCGCTGTGAGTTCAAAACCTGTCTAGTCTACAGAGTGAGTTCCAGGACAGCCATAGCCATTACAAAGAGAAACCCTATCTTGAGGTGGAAAAAAAGAAGAAAAAGAAAGAAAGAAAGAAAGAAAAAAAAAAAAAGAGTTGCTGTGGTCATGGTTATCTCTTTATAGCAATAAAACCATAACTAAGGCAACCCAGACAAGTACTGGGATTCCAAGTATATACCATTATACTCAGATATATCAGGTTTTTATTATATAAATTCAATATTTTATCTCATGTGACATTTTGAACATAATGAGGTAAGCAGAGGCAGGAGGATCATGAATTTGAAGTCAGCCTGGTTATGTGCAATTTCAAAAGAAAACAAAAACCCAAAACAAAATAAAAACCCTAAAAAACAATAAAGATAAACAGGGCACTTAACCCCTGAGGCAGGAGGATATGAGTTCAAGGCCAGACTGGTCTACAGAGCAAGTTTCAAGATAGCCAGGGCTACACAGAACAAAAACAAGGGGCTGGAGAGATGCTCAGCGATTAAGAGCATTGGCTGCTTTTCCAGAGGTCCTGAGTTCAATTCTCAGAACCCACATAAAGGCTCACAACCATCGCTAGTGGGAAGTGATGGCCTCTTCTGGCATAAAGGCATACATGCAGATAGAGCACTCATATATATAAAATAAATAAAAATTTTTATAACAAATTCGGGAGGGTGGTGGCACACAGATCCGAGTTCCAGAACAAGCTCCAAAGCTTCAGAGAAACACAAACAAATAAACAAAAACAAAACACACACAACATATTATTAGACAATGTAAGTATCTAGTGGGGAAAAAAACATACTAGAGTTCGTTTGTCCTCCCAAGAAGTATGTTCTCTGGAATGTAGAGACACAAAATGACTTAAATAAAGGAAGGTAAGAAGGATATCAGTTCCAAGGACGTAAGATCCTCTCTAGTGCAACTTATGATCATACAAGGGACAGACTGCATTTACACAACCAGAGACTCCACTCGTATTTAAGCCATGCTGTTTCAGTGATGGGCTCCTCCCATCTACATTAAACATTGCAGCTGCTGATCTGCTTTCACTATAGTATAAAAAAGAAAAGGTCAAAGTTCAAAGAAACTCTAAGTCATCAACAACAACCAGCAAAAGGCACATGTGCTTTTTTTCTTTCTTTTGGTTTTTCGAGACAGGGTTTCCCTGTGGCTTTGGAGGCTGTCCTGGAACTAGCTCTTGTCGACCAGGCTGGTCTTGAACTCACAGACATCCACCTGCCTCTGCCTCCCGAGTGCTGGGAGTAAAGGCGTGTGCCACCAACGCCCGGCAGCACATGTGCTTTCTAACACAAATCTTTTGATTCATGCTTTCCAAGTGATCACAGACTGTTAAATATTTGTTTTTTTGTTACTCATCTAGCAAATATTCAGTGCAATTTTAGTATGTATTAGACAATATGTTAGAGCAGTAAATAACAGTTAAAAAAGAGGACCACCTAAATAAATGATAAACATAAAGGGGCACTATGGCATATTCTTAGGAATATCTGAGAGAATTGCCAGTAGCCTATGTGTACATGAGTAAATGTAAAGAATGTGTGTGTGTGTGTGATATACACACATATATCACACACACACACAAAGACATACACAGAGATGCTGTTTAGACCAGCAAATACACAATTTTAGATTATATATGGCTGGCTGTAAATTTAATTTATAATATATTCACTTATTTAATGTGCTTGGGTATTTTGCCTGCACCAGAGGATACCTGGTCTGTTGGAGGCCAGAAGTGGACTTTGACTAACCTGAGACTGAAGTGATAGGCCATGTTAAGCCTCCATGTGGTTGCTGGGAATTAAAACTCAGACCTCTAGAAAAGCAGCCAGTGCTCTTAACTGCTGAACCATTCCTCCAGCCTGTGACTGTAAATCTTGCTCAACAAAACCTAGCTCAGATAAGAGTACTGAAGCTCAAACTTTAGCCCTGGCGGCCTGTAATTTGCCACAATACTCCTGTTACTGCCTCCCAAATGCTGGAATTACAGGTATGCACGGTTTATCTACCTTCAAAGGTCACTTTCTTTCACTATTGTGTCTGTGTAAGATGGGAAGAAACAACATCTCTTCCTATAACTCATTCTAAATGGGATCTTGTTGGCTTTACAATGAATAATTTATTCTGAGACCTGGGGATGCCTCCTAAGACATTATTTAAAAAAATAACTTTATTTGAAACGGTTGATAGCAACCGTTTGGGCAAATTGTTTTTTGTTTTGTTTTGTTTTGTTTTGGTTTTTTGAGACAGGGTTTCTCTGTGTAGCTTTGGAGCCTATCCTGGCACTCGCTCTGAAGACCAGGCTGGCCTTGAACTCACAGAGATCTGCCTGCCTCTGCCTCCCAAGTGCTGGGATTAAAGGCATGTGCCACCAACGCCCGCCCGTCGAAAAATAGTTTTAACTATTTAACTTAATAATAAAAATAATTTTGAGTGGAGCTGAGTACTGGTGGCTCAGGCATTTAATCCCAGACCTCAGGAGGCAGAAGAAGATGGATCTGAGTTTGAGGCCAGCTGGTATACAAAGTAGTTCTAGTACAGCCAAGGCTACACAGAGAAACTGTGTCTCAAAGAACAAAATAAATTTATTTCAAACACACCAACGGATGAGATGCACTCATGCCCAAGGGTTTTGACCCTGCTTTGTATCTATCTACTTGTAAAGAAGAAAATTGGTCACATCAGGATGACCACCATTTCTGTAACCTTTTCCATTTCTCTCCGTCCTCCCTGAGTTACTTACAAAGATCCATAATGTGGTTCCTGCAGATGGCACAGTTATCAACCACAATATCCCAGGCCCAGAGGGCTACTGCATTCCACTGCAAAGACAAAGGGGGTTAACAATGCATTTTCCTAGTAATGTAACAGGATTTCAGGTTTCAGTTCAAGCTACCAACTCCCTGGCCTTAGGGGCTATCAAAGAAAGAATGTTTTTGGATTATACTATTTGTACTACATCAGAGGACAACAGCAAACCACATGTATGCTTCCTCATTCATCTGAAGATGTAAACATGGGATGCTTCAATTTTCTGTCTATAGTGTAAAATAATTTAGCTAGTCCAACCAATGTAAGCAAATTAGAAATATTTTTTAAACACCGGTTTTAGATTTAAAGAAGTACAAACTTGAATTATTGTGGAGCTTTCCCTGGCAGTTGTGGAAGGACTCAAAATCTGCAGAAGTCTCTGCTCTTCAAGCAGTTTTGGACACATAAGGAGGTGAACAGAATGGAGTAAAATGATGACAGGATCATAATGTGGATAATCGTGGGATAAGCCGGATAGCCAGTTACCTACCTAGCTTCAGTACACAGAACAAGGTCATCACTTAAATCTTAACAGATTAATTCATGGCAAAGTAGAATCCACTACAATTTTCTTTCCCTCTTATCCTGGAAACTGATGTTGTCAACTTTTATATGTCCAAACTATTAATTCTAGTAAGCAAGTCGATCTAAAAGTAGTTCAACTGGCTTCTGCAATTATACATACATATTGACAGACACCCCTTTCAAGGGCTCTTTCAAATTCAAGTCTCAGAAGTTCAGTAACTTCTACATCACTTTTTATACCACAGCATCAACTCGGGGGGTTGAAAAAAAAACGATTACTTCTATTCTTCAATATGGCTGCTGGCTGTAACTGAGCAGCAATGGCCACAATGAGATGCCAGAAAAGGGGGGTGGGGTGGAGGGTGTGCTCAGCGACACGCTCCAAAAATACATGAAAACATCTCTCCGACTACAATATCTTCATTTTTACAGATTTATGTATTCTGAGGTAGGAACTGACACCTTTCTCTCAAACTGTTGGCAAACTATGAAGGGAACAGCATGCAAAAAGACTTTCGACATTTTTGCTTTCCTGCTCCCAAATCATGAACAATTAGTATTCCACTTTCCTAAATGCCACAAGTTCTGGGCTTGCTTTTAAAACAAAGCCCACGAAGCTTTGTAACTACTGATTTTGATAGAAGGGTATCCGGACGTTACAGAACTATGGGACTGGCAAAACCTATACGTGACAAGCAGTAGACATTTCTGAAGAACCAAGTCTTATACTCGAGACTAGGGCCTTAGAGCCTAATGGAGGCCTCCATACAATCGAGGACCCACACCAGGTCTCTCCGAGTCAATAGACTCAAGGATCCAGGAAGGGGCGGGGCAAGGAGAACACCGACCGACAGGGCTCCTGAGAGCCTCCTCTGCGGTAGGGGCTCACGCTCCCCCCTTTCTCCGCCCT